TCCAGAAATGTCTGCTAATCATTGCTATTTTTGCATCCCGGAAACAACCAAGAGGTGATATTCAACAGTCTGTAAAAATTAAACAAAATCTCAACATTGTTTCGAAGTGTACCGGAAAGAAATCCTTAAATGTTTTATCTTATCTTAAAAATACGTCCGCCTGAATTAAACTCATAAGCAAATAAAGTGTTTCTTTTTTTTTTTGAATGCACTGTTGTCTTAAATGTGCGATTAGGAAGAACGGACCCAAACCTGGTGATGACGTATCTTTAGAGTTTCCTAAGAAAATGTCGCGAACACTGTCTCATATTGACTGGAAAAAAATGAGCCCAGAATGAGACTGCGTTTATATGTAATTATATAGCTGTAACCGATAGTTAGGTACCTAATAATTTAAATGCTATATACCATATATCACTTACAGCTGTCTTGTCTTCTACATATCACTACGATAACAGTTGCCGCTTTTAGCTCCAGGAGGCCTTAACACGTTAAATTTCGCCATGCTTTAGTGATAAATAGTAATGTGAGTAATGACTGATCATTGTTAGTTTGAAATATATTTATCGGAAAGGGGGGGGGGACAACAACCAACCATTAAATATATTTGTTTCAGCAAAATTATTCCATCCCACTTTAAAAAAAAAAAAGTCCAAATTAAGAGTAGACACCTTTATTGGATTTTAATCAAACGTAAATTTTATTTATACATCTTTTTTTTTGGGTCACGTTTTTCCAACGTCATAATAACCCCTTCGTCAAAATAAACATTAAATCGATTTAATTCTGTGTAATTTTTTGACGAAAGCTTTGTGTTCAAGCTGTTGCACGATGGGATTTTACTCGTGCTTTGTTTTGGCACGAGTGTCCTTATAGGCATCAATGTTTCCGATTTTCAGGGAGGGGACATTACAGATATTCTGGAGGTCAGTGCCAGTTGCTAGAGGATTAGCTACAAAGGGGGTGGGGGGTGGGTTGGGCAATGGCCCAGAATCTTGCCGGACTAGGGGGGTGGGGGCGATGAAATGGGGTGTGATGCATTTAATGTATGAAAATAATGGGTCACGGAGTTGGGAGGGGGGGTGGGTTAAAATGAATTCAGTCCCCTGGAACAATCACCAGTGGGTCATCATACTCCCCAATTACCTGACGAACCCTTTCTTTCCCTGTATCATTGGAGATATGGTCCCTGTAGCAGATGCCAAAAATCCTTCTGAAGCATCTCATCTTCATCGCCCCTATTTTCCTTTCAAGATCGGCTGTTAATGTCCAGGATTCGCATGCATACAGGAAAATGGAGAGAACTAATGAGCGCATCAGCCTGATTTTGGTGCTGGGGGCTATATTTTTTTCATTCCATATTTTCTTGATCTTTTTTAGTGCTGTTATAGTCTGCGCAATCCTGGACATCAGTTCGGGCTTGGAGCATTCTTCTGAGACTATTGCTCCTAGGTATTTGAAGCGGCCGACAGTCTCTAATCTTTCCTCCCCAACCTTAATTTCAGTGGTGCTGCCTGCGGTATTATTTTTCATCAGTTTTGTCTTTTCGGCACTGATTAGCATGCCGTAGGACGACGGGGTCTTATCGAGACGCTTTACCAGGTCGGCTAGCTCTTCTTTGTTCCCAGCCAGCACGTCTATGTCGTCTGCAAAGCGTAGGTTTATGATTGTTCTGCCACGAATGCTGACTGCCCCCTCATGCGCTTCAGACAATCTGACATATTTCTCTCTAGGAAGATGTTGAATAGGGTGGTCTTGAACCATTCTCCGATGTTGTTGTTGAGGAAGACTGCACTGGTGGCCTTATCATAGAGGTTGCATATCATGCTGGTTAGGTTTGTGTTGATGTTGTAGTGCCTCATGGTGGCCCATAAAGCAGCATGCCAAGCCCTGTCAAATGTTTTCTTGAAGTCAACAAAGACGTGGTATAGGTTTTGTTGGCGTTGAGCATATTTCTCACATAGTATTCGGAGGTTTAGAATCTGCTCAGGATTGCCCCGTCCTTGCCTGAAGTCCACCTGTTCTTCAGCAATGATTCGGTCGGCGTTTTTAGTGGTGTTATAGTCTGCGCAATCCTGGACATCAGTTCGGGCTTGAAGCCTTCTTCTGAGACTATTGCTCCTAGGTATTTGAAGCGGCCGACAGTCTCTAACTTTCCTCCGCGACCCTAATTTCAGTGGTGATGCCTGCGGTATTATTTGTCATCAGTTTTGTTTTTTCCGCGCTGATTAGCATGCCGTAGGACGACGAGGTCTTATCGAGACGCTTTAGATCAGCACAAAGTAAAATAAACTTAAAAATGTATTTATAATATAATTAATTTTTTGGGGGATGGGGTATAACAATGTTGACATAAGGGGGAGAGGGGGGGTCAAAAATTGCTTTAAAATTGTTTACGTAATTAATGGACGTCCCCTCAGCAAGTAAAGAAAAGTTATTGGTGTCCGTTCCTAAATTAATATCTTTCATTGATGAATTATCAGAAGATGAACTTTTAAATGAAAAACCACTGGCCTAGAAGACATCTAATGGCAGCTGATAATGAATTTCACAAGTCATGGACTGGTCAGTATTTGATGTTTTGAAATTCATAGCTTAATGGGACTTTATAAAAACTCTTCCAATACTCTTGCTAAACTTTCAGTTGTTACTTACTATCTGTATATCTGTGGCTTCATGTGAGCGGAGCTTTTCAAAACTAAGGCTTATCCATAACTATTTACGACCCATCCTGGGACAGTCACCGCGTTTTTGATCTGGCTGTAATATCAATTAAAAGTGATTCGGTGAAGTAAATTGATTTTTCTCAAGTGAATGAAAGGTGTGTAGCTTTGAAGACCATGAAAGGAAAATGGAAAAAAAAAAAAAAAGCAAAATTAATATAAAAATAAGTATGACGTAACGCTGTTACAGTTGTTAAATACATTGACCTGTTGACCTATTGACCTGTTGACCCGTTGACCTGTTGACTTTTGTTTTCTTGTCATTATACTGTCAACTTATTTTAACAAGAAAAAATCTATCGTGAAAGTCGATGGGATAGAGTGGGGGGGGGTGGTTTGGTGTGACACCATTAGTTAACAGCACTGGGTGACAGCAACCCTAGCTACGTCACTGAGCTCAGCACATACTGTTTGCAACAGCCAAGACGAACTGACTATTTTATAAATCTAGGACAGATGCCTAACGCACGGGAATGCAAACTTTAAAAGTGATGTTCCTGTAGCTAGAGGTCTTTGGGTAGCGTCGACGAATGATGTGACTTTATAAAATTAGTAAAAAAAACTTCTGTTTGCCTTATCGGAACTATGTGTTTAGACGAGTAGGTTTCGTGGACAACACATTCACGCTGTTGTGAAATGTTACATCACTCAATTAAATGGAGCATTTTTTATGAAGGCTTAACACTAAATTTGATTTTTTTGTTGTTTTTGTGTTGGATCACTGGATACTTAACTTTATCTACGTTGTAGTTTCGAACAAACTTGTTCACATGTTGAAACCTAACAAGATGTTTTCCACATGACGTGACTTAACGACTGTGTACTTGACCCTTTGATATTAGAACATGTACTGACTGACCCACACAATCTGTTTTGTTTCCAGCATGCAGATGAAGATGCCATTCCCGACCTTGACCCGTGCCCTGTATTACTTCAGCGTGTTCGCCAGCTGGACCGTCACGTCCTACCTGTGCCACCTGTTCGCCAAGATGTTTCTAACTCTGTTCACCAAGAGCTTCGGGATCAATTTCTGGATCAGTTTGGCCGGCGCTGTGACGATCACCCTCATCCAGACGTGTACGGTTAACTTAAGGCGTTGTGTGTTCGGTTGTTTGTTCGGTTGTTTGTTCTTTGGTTGTCGTCCTGCCCAGGCATATATTAGAAGATTTTAAGTGTACCAAACACTGACACATTCTGCAGACGTGTACAGTTTAACCACTGAAACTGTCTTAACATGGCTCGGTATGGTATGTGATTTTGGTTTAATTGTGGTTACCCGGAAGTTGTTTCCCCACGAGCACATCAAAAGATTATAAGTTTCCGCCCTATTTTGTCTATCACGCCCCATCCCTGTAATAAGCTTCAAAATATTCTCCAGCCCTCTAATGAAATGGGAAACAATGGTGTAGAATAGATAGTAAATCTTGATAGCGAGCACGTATTTCTGAGTGAAGCATGCAGTGCCAGTATCACATAGCATATTATTAGCTAATAGCTGGATATAATGTTGGATAACGTGACGGTGTTGTTGTGAAACAATAGAGATGTTGGTGGGAAACAGTAGAGATCTTGGTACGAAACAATAGAGATCTTAGTGAGCAACAGTAGATATATTGTTGGTTGGAAACAGTAGAGATGTTGGTGGGCAACAGTAGAGATGTTGTTGGGAAACAGTAAAGATGTGGGTGTGCAACAGTAGATATGTTGGTTGGTAAGAGTATTGATGTTGTTGGGCATGAGTAGAGATTTTGGTTGGCAACAGTAGATATGTTGGTGAGCAGCATTTAAGATTTTTTTGGCAGCAGTAGAGATGTTGTTGGGCATCAATAGAAATGTTGTTAGGATACAGTAGAGATGATTGTTACAATAGATATTTAAATACCGTAATTTATTTTATTTCTACCATAAATGGTTACCTATGTTTTTACCCACTATTTTAACTATAAATAGTTACCAGAGGTTTTCCCCAGTATTTGAATTATAATTAGTTACCTAATTTTTCCCCAATATTTCAACAATACGTAGTTACCTATATTTTCCCACAGTACTTCAACTATAAGTAGTTACCTACGTTTTCACCAGTATTTCAACTATAAGTTGTACCTATGTTTCTCCAAAGTATTTGATATATAAGTAATTACCTAAGTTTCCCCCCAGTATTTTACCTATAAGTAGTTACCAACGTTATTCCCCAATATTTCAACTATAAGTAGTTACCTATGTTTTTCCCCAGTATTTTACCTATAAGTAGTTACCACGTTTTTCCCCAATATTTCAACTATAAGTAGTTTCCTATGTTTTTCCCAGTATTTCAACTATAAGCAATTAACTATGTGTTTCCCCAGTATTTCAACTATAAGTAGTTACCAAAGTTTTTCCCCAATATTTCACCTATGTTTTTTCCCAGTAATGTGTTTTTCATCTATAAAATTAAACGACGAGAAGAAAGATAACCAAAAACTAACAAATGTCTCGCTTCACGCCCTTGCCACATTTTTTACCAACCTTAGCATGGCGGTCATGTTCGCCTCCTCTACACTTGCTATCAAGGTGAGTCAACAATGTCTTTATCCAACAAAGATTTAGAATAGTTTATCTATACACATACTTAATGAGAGGGCTGCGTGGGTGGGGGGGGGGTTACGTTTTCTTTAACCATACAATCTTTCAATCAATGTATAATTAAACATTTGATAAACATTAGCTATAACCCAAACATTTGACCAACGTTTTCCTTTACCGAAATATTTGACCAACATTCGCCATAACGCACACATTTGATTAACATTTACCATAACCCTAACATTTGACCAACATTCGCATAACACTATATTTGAACAACATTTGCCATAATCCAAACATTTGACCAACATTCGCATAACCCTATATTTGACCAAAATTTGCCATAGCCCTAACATTTGACCAACATTCGCATAACACTATATTTGACCAACATTTGCCATAATCCAAACATTTGACCAACATTTGCCATAACCCTAACATTTGACCAACATTCGCATAACACTATATTTGAACAACATTTGCCATAATCCAAACATTTCACCAACATTCGCTAAAACGCAAACATTTGACCAACATTCGCCATGACCCAAACATTTGACCAACATTCGCCATACCCCAAACATTTGACCAAGATTCTCTAGAACGCAAACATTTGACCAACATTTGCCATAACCCAAACATTAGACCAACATTTACAATTAAAAAAAGTGCAAAAACATTTTTTTTTTTTTTTTAATGTTTGTGTTTTTAAAAATTGAAAAATTGAGCTGATTTAAAAAAATATAAAAATTCAACAATTGCTGGTTGCGTCATAAAATGATCATATCCAGCATTAAAACAATGCCCTGGAACTAACTCTGATAAAGTTACCTTATTCAATCCCTGACTCCATGACATGATGTTTGGCACCCTACGTCTACCACAGTTAATGGAGCCTATCACCAGCGCCATGACACAGTATTTCTTCATGGGCACGCCCATGAAAGCCACCACCACGGTGAGCCTGCCGTTCATCGTCATCGGCGCCATTGCGTTCACAGGGAACCCGCTGTCGGAAGTCAGCCTGACGCTTGGAGCGGGGCCGCCTTTGTGTCGAATATTGTTTTTGCTTTCAGGTCAGTATTTAGACCAGGGGTTTCCCAACCTCGTCTGACGAACGCTCCAACACAAAACCCCTCCGCGCCCCTTCCTCCCCCCCCCACATACCCAAACGTTTTAACTAACTGATTGACATTCTTGTCCACCGTCTGCTAACGACTCGAGATTTGGCGTTATAATAAAATAATTAAAATGATTCCACTATGAGTTTCTATTGCAATTGATCACTTATTTTAAAAAGACTATAAATGACATATCGAGCAACTAACCCAACCTTTTCATTTTCCCTATTTAAAAAAAAAAAGGTAAACACATTTCTCATCTCAGAGACTGAAGGTAACAACCCCCCCCCCCCCTACCAACCAAACCTTTTCATTTTCCCTATTTAAAAAAAAAAAGGTAAACCCATTTCCCATCTCAGAGATGAAGGTAGCCCCCCCCCCCCGGACACCAGCCCCCCGCCCCCACATTCATTATCTTAAAATTGTGGGGCGTACGGAAAAAACAATGATGCAGACCTTGATTCTATGACATCGAGTAGTTCTTATAAGTTACATGTGTTCAACATACTGCCCTAACACTGCTGTTTTTTATTAGCGTCCAAATTTCACTTGCATATGATACAACAGGTCTCATTACAGATTTATATATGGCTGCAACTAATTCGTAACCGGGTACCAGAAGTGAGATGTTGGGATTAAAAAACGATTCAAAATTTTATTGTTGGGTTTGTAAGACAAAATGAGGTATCAAATGGAAGATAATTGAATGGACTATATGTTTGTAAACTTAATTCTTCAGTTTAACTAAAATAAACTACCACAAATGACATCCGAATAGCTGGAGTCTAATGGTACCCGGGTGCGAATGTGTCAGGTGTTCCTCTAACACTTCACTTTCTTCATACGTCTTCTATTACTTTTAGTTTAGCTCGTTCCACATTCCCTTTTTTCCTTTCTCAACATTTGTGTGACTTTCCTGCTGGCTTCATTGTATTTGTCTTGTATTTCTGGTTTCCCTTTGTATCTTGGTTATTCGTGCTCTGTTCCTTACTTCGACAGTCTCTCCGCACTCATTATCAAACCAGCCTACTCTACTGTTAGTTTACTGAAATGCTACTACTTTTTCTGGTTATATTTCATAGTATTTTTTATTCAATCCCACTGTTAATTTATGTTGTTTTCCCTCCTGTGGTGTTTCTAGTAGTGTTTCTATTTCATTACTGTCAGCTTTCGGTCATCATATAGTTTTTTCTCTTTGTGTCTTATGCTTAATCTCCGATAACATCTAAAACTTACAAGTAAATGGCCAGAGTCTGCATCTGCTCCTCCATAGCTTCAAATGTCTGGTATGTCTGATCAATGCATCCAATCGATTAGAGCAAAGTCGATTTAGATGTGATTCCATCTGATGAGTTCTAAGTACTTTTATGTATATTCTTGTGTGGAAACTTAGTGCTACTGTCATCTCTTTTCCTGAAGCAAAGTCTTTGAGTCGTATCCCATTGTCTCTAGACTCTTCATATAGATTCTACTTGCCAATAGTTGGCATAAACATTTTCTTCTCATTTTTTTGGGAGCATTTATGTCGCAAATCAATATTTTAATATTATGTCGTGTTTCCTCATCATAGTTTAGTTTCCAGCGCCTCAAGGATTCTTCCATTTGACCTTCTGTATCTTCGGTTGTTACATGAACATTTATAAATGTTACATTAAACATTTTCCTGCGCACCCGCAAAGAGCAAAATCTTCTGGTTTAAATTTAATGGTTTAAAATCTATAACTGCACCGACGGCTTCTGCCTTCACAGCAAATCCTGTTGCAAGAGTGCTGGTGTTGTTGCCACAATAATTTACGGTGTAATTATTAGTCTTGTAGATGTCTGCATTTTTCCATAGAATTTCTTGCAATGTAGCAATAGAGATTTAAAAAATTAATAAGTTGATCTATTACGTCGGCTAAGGCTCCTGCTCTAAACAGGCTTACTATGTTCTAAGTCGCAATCCAAAAAAATCTTGTCCATATCGAGGAATGGTCAAAGGTCAAATGTTGATTTCCACTAGAATTAATCCGGGTGTTATTTTGTATGGCTTTCGTAGCGTTTATTTTTTTTTTACGTGTCGTGGGTGGTGGGGGGAGGTGTAGCCCTGCGCGCGACCGTCGGGGGGCTCCCCATATGGTTTTCTAGGTAGATACCTTATTTTTAGGCTAAGATTCCCTAGCCTTTGTTGATCCCACCATTTTATACCGAGTAGTAGGTTCTGTGGTGGGCTTTCCCCTTTCCGCCCCTTGGTGAAGAGGGGCGGTGGAAAATCGGTATCTCCACACGAGCTGCAAAACTTTGTAAGATTAAAATATTTAATTAGATGATTACCAAATATGGACGTAGATGTGTACCAAATATGGACGTAGATGTGTACCAAATATGGACGTAGATGTGTACCAAATATGGACTTAGATGTGTACCAAATATGGACGTAGATGTGTACCAAATAAGGACTTAGATGTGTACCAAATATGGACGTAGATGTGTACCAAATATGGACTTAGATGAGTACTAAATTTTTAGCTATGCAAAATTACGCGGCAAACTAGAGAAATTCTCTTTAGAGAAACACGGTGTATTAAAAAAAATATGTTTCTAGAGCCGTAAGAAAAGTTAATTATCGAACTCTATTTGATGCAGCTTCGCGGTTTAAATGGATAAGTTATTCAATTTAAAAGAGCTTTAACGATAATACATTAAAAAATTTTCTCCCTTATGTATTTTTTTTACAATACAGGAATGTGTCGTTAAAGAAACTGAATGCAAGTGACCAAAGTGGAATACGCTTCCGCACCATCAGTGTCTTTTCTGTGTGGCTCCCTGCGGCCCTCTTGGTGCTCTGTGGTGTAGGCTTGTGTTTGGAAAGAGCAGGAGTTATCCCCCGTAGCTTGCAGGAGGCCGCCACTTACGGCTTCCTGTCTGCCACATTTCACGTGGCCTACTCGTACGTCTCCGTTGGATTGGTTTTAAAGGAGGTCGGTGAAGAACTCGGATCAATTAAATTTAATAACTTCTAAAGTCGAAACGCGTTTCAAATAATAACATAGAAACTAATAAACTTTGTTATTCGCAGGTGTGTGTGGGTGATGCAGGGACGTAACTAGGGTTAGTGCCGTCCCGTGGCGGGCCTATAGCTTTGCCCCACGCTTTTTATTTTTTCATGGACATCCTTTGGTTTTTACGGACATTTACGGACAAGTTATTTTTGTTCCATTTTTTTCGGGACTTTCCGAACGGTTGGCAAACCTGGCCCCAACCTTCCTACACCACTGGCGTGATGTCCAAAATAAATGTATATTTACCGGCGTCATCTGAAATATAGTAGTAGTCAGCAACGTCACTGGGGTTTGGTGTATAAAAGGGCAGTAAATTCGTTGTGTCACCCCCTCCAGACTGACTTGACCACATGGACCTCTTCTGGAGCTGCCTGATCTGGCGAAAACCTGCTCTCGTTACAACCTGGTCTTTTAAAAGACATACGAATAGCAATAATCCGAAATCTCAACTTGCAAGTGATTTGCACTTATTTAAGTCAAAGCAGTGAGATAATCATCAGCTTCCTAAGAACAAAGCTTTGAAGAGGGGAGAGGGGCGCCGGGGAAAAGTATGTTTATTTAACATCAATTTATGCGCGCACTTACATTTACAATAAGTAGGTCAATGTCATTTCGTTTCAGATGTCAGTCGTGAGCCACGCTGTTCTTAACATCTTAAAGCGCCTGCTAGTGGTGGTCCTCCTGTACATCTCTAGCGTACGGGTCGCCACATTCTCCAATTTCGTCGGCCTTGGAATATGTACCTTCGGACTTGTGCTGTACTCAACTGATCAACAAATTTTGAAATTCTGCAGTGAAAGAATTGGTATACATTTGTTTTAAATTTTGCATACACTTCACCCACAGCATTAAATATTGATTCTGCTGATGGCGAAGTGTTCCAACAGAACACTTATTAAAAACGTATTGTCATGCAATGGAGCAAAGACGGCATCTGTAGAGAGAAATTTAAACCGAGTATTTGTGTGGTGTTCTTGAAGACACGGGTGTGGGTTTGCCGGGTGTGGGTTTGCCGGGTGTGGGTTTGCTGGGTGTGGGTTTGCTGGGTGTGGGTTTGTTGGGTGTGGGTTCGCCGAGTGTGGGGTTCTTGGGGGGGCGGGTGTGGGGTTGGCGGGTGTGGGGTTGCGGGGTGTGGGGTTG